CGTCGTTTGGGCTTCATTGTTGAGCGCAGTGGCACTGAGAACATTATATTTCACACACTTTAAGCTCTTTTATTTTCCATATGTAATAGGATTAGTCCAACGAATCATTTTATGCGAGCAGCTACTGGTAGCCAGTGCTGATTGATGAACAGAGGTGTGACGTGTATGTTTGCTGGTAAGATGTGTATGACAGTTTGTGGTGTGGCAAATTGTGCACTGAGGTTTGTAATTTTATTAATGAAGAATGTGGCAAAGTCGTCAGCTGTTAAGAGTTGATGAAGGAAGGGGGAGGAGGAGGACAAAGGAGGGATAACTAGGGGAGTACCATCCCCAGGAAAGGTTGAGAGCAGCACATCTAATTCTTACACGAAGGTACCTAGTGGTCCTGGGGGTCGATAAACAACTATAAAATGGATTTTAAGAGGGTGGGTAATAGTGGCAGAATGTGATTCAAAGGAGCTGTTGATACTCAAGAGATGGCAAAGGATTAAACTTCCAATCATTAGAGATAAGCAGACCAGTACCTCCACCTCTTCCAGTCAGACGGGGGGAGTGGGAAAAGAGAAATTACCGTAGGATTGCGCTGCCTACAGTGTGTGATGCGTGGTTTGCGAGTGGTAGTGATAGTAGGGGACCTTACTATCAACACATAGTAAGAATTGGTTATAAAAACTGAAAACAGAAGGGAAACAAGTAGTAGGAAAGAGAATGATTCAAAAGTGATACTTATGTGATACTTATGTCCCTTGCCGGTGTCCCTGCTCGGTAGAGTCGAACGGTAGAGTCGATGGTCTTTACACTCTTCGGACTTCACACGAGGGCTGCCGCGGTATACTAAGCTTTTTATATTCGTCTAACAAAACTAAAATTGAATTCAGCTGAACACACTTTCCTGTTTATCACAACAAATGGCCGAGCAAGCGCACGACACTGACAAGGTACGCGATACAGTACGAGACCAAATGCGATTTCAGCACGTCTCCACACAGTAAACAAAACAAGCGTTTCCTAGCAACTTCTACCACATAAATAAAGCAAAGCATATTGACAGCAAAATCAGTGGAAATAGGAGCACACTTCCACCAACTGAAAGTTAATTAATTAAATGTGTGTGGGTGTATATATATATATATATATATAATTTATTGTTTTCAGCGTCATTCCATTTGTATGCAATTCTACATTCTGATTTCTGCTTCAGTTCATATTTAGGAATTGTGATTTAACACATAAATCATTTCTGAATGTCACTCTACCCTGATTTGCAGAAGCTCATGGGTGAAAAGCATGAGGAATATACAGTTCTGATGTTTGTTCCTTTGCTGAGATGATTTGATGGCTGTGCTCTCAGTGACAGTGAAGTCTTCTAAAATGCTCTAACGCCGACCGGGTTATCAAGAGAAAAATAGCATGAAGTTCAGAATAATTGTCTAAAAATGGTCTTTGAGATCAGCGTTTCAGATTGATGTGTCATGTACGGTTTTTAAAGGGAACCAAAGGATCTGAGTGACTCAGAGGAGCTTCTGTAACCGTGTCAGTGAATTTGAGTGACTTCTGGAGAAGATGTACTGCTTTTACTTCTTCAGTTAACAGCCTGGAAGTTATAGTATGTGTCCCAGAACTAAATGATTTCCATACTTAATTTTTATCACTAATGGCACGTCATAAACAGCCTCATTGATGTTGACTTTGGATATCATGTGGTAACATGTGGTAAACATGATAAATTCATTGGCACTGAACCTCATGTCAGTGGATTTTCTGCTTTCTTTGAGTGTGAATGTCTGAATGTTTTATCAACTACCATGAAAAAGTTTGGGGTCAGTAAGTTTTTTTTATTTTTATTTTTTTATAAAGAAACTAATACTTTTTTTCATCAACGACACATTAAATTGATCAAAAGTGACAACAAATACATTTATAATGTTAAAATATTTCTATTTCAAATAAATGCTGTTAATTTAAACTTTCAAAGACCACAAAATATGAATATGAAGCAGCACAACTGTTTTCATTTTATTGATAATCAGAAATATTTCTTGAGCAGCAAATCAGCATATTAGAATGATTTCTGAAGATCATGTGACACTGAAGACTGGAGTAATGATGCTGAAAATACAGCTTTGATCACAGAAATCAATTACATTTTACAACATATTCACATTGAAAACAGTCATTTTAAATTGGAATAATGTTTCACAATTTATTTTTGATGACATCCATATATGTGCGCAGTGGCCCTTACAAGTATTTAGACACTTAAGCCATATGTACAAATAAATGAATCATCACATTATATAGCAAATTATGAACGCAAATAGCATTTAACTCATGTTTTTAATTTGAGCCTTTGATACAGAACTGTCTAGTTATCTTTACTAAGTTAATGATATAATGATGCACTTCTCATATGTTGGTGAAACTGAAGTAATTGTCCTGCTTTTTCAGTCCTCATGCATTGGCTTGACTGCACTTCTCTGTTCTCCTGATTTTCCAGTAAAAGTATTTAGAGGTTTCTGCTTTTGCTCTTCTCGTGATCCAGGTTGGCAGGTGCACTCCTCCACTTTGGGACTAAAAAAATGAATGACCCAAAATTACCCCAGACTATAAAACTGAGGCCAATTCACTAAATATGTATTGCGGTGATTCAGTTGCCCCCAAATGTGCCCCCCCCCGACCCATAAAGTATAACACACAGTGTGATGTGTTGCTTTAGCTGATGTTAGATTGGTTTGCTGTATGTTTACATTTGTGAACTACTACTAAACTACTTTTATGCTGCTTTTCAAATAACATCCTCCATTATCCAAGCCATGATGGTAAAAGAGAAGATAAAAATCACAGATGAACAAATGTAAATGCTAAAAACATCAAAAGTTTGAGAGCACATTGTTGTGAATGCATTGCATCTAATTTTAACTGCTGTCTTATCAGCTGATGTCCTGATGTGTCCTTTCCTGGAGTCCATTTCCAGTCATTACAAACCGCACGCTTCAGATTCAGATTCATCCCGTGTAGATAAAACTATTTCTGAGCAGCAGAAGCACTAGGTTCGTCATGCCACATCAAATCCCAAAGCGGTAATTATGTGTAGCGGAGCAGCAGGATGCCAGGCTGGTTGTGACCGCTGAGCGGCGGGCCGGACTCGAGCATCCAGGACCTGCAGAGCCTTTCCTGACATCTCTCCTCAGAGCTGGAACTGCCTCCCGATGCAAATCTGAAACACATTTCTTTTGTTTATACAGGCCATCATGTAAGGCAAGCACAAAGCCCTTTTAATGAAGCGTGACGCTCTTTTGTAGCCACTTCAGAAAACGCCAGCAGACGAAGGAGTTCGCCCAAAGTGTGACTTGTTTCACACTTAGCTCATGCACTTTCCGTGTTCGGATTTGAATAGGGAGCGTCCATTAAGAGTTGGAGGTGTCTTCATAGACCGTAGATTTCAGATTTTATTAGACTCTTTTAATGTTTTTCTGATGCACAAATTTTAAAGGTTCTGTGCAAATAAGTGTTTTTTTTTTGTGTGTGTTTTGTCATTTGGCAGTTGGGTTTGTTCAGCTTCCATTTGGGGCTTGATGCCTTATTTTATTGTCCTCCAAATCTGCTCTAGAAGCTTAAATAGAAACCAACTGCTCGTTGGGGTCACGACTGAGGAAAAAAATTCTGATTTTTCCATTTGTTGCTGTTGATCATGTCGCTCTTGATTTTGGACACCGTAATAGTTTTCTTGTTCCTCCATATTCAGGTCATGTTCTTAAGTTCAACATTGGCTTTGACTATGTCTGGGTAAATCTTCCCTCGACAAAAACCCAATAGGATTTTTCCATTGGCATTTGGATTATTGCATACAAAAATCTCTGTGACCAACAAAAGTCTATGATTCTTACATGTTTTGTTCATCACGGTAATACACAAATGAACAAAACTTTCATTAGTTTTGAAGCCTAAATATAATCACCAGAAGTAAAAAGCCAAACATAGTCTATAAACAAAATACATTACAGTCACATGACTTAAATGTCATCACCATAAAGCTTCTGATCACTCTTTCAGTAATGAAAGTTTGAGTTAGAATAGTTTCCAAAAGTGTGATTATAAACACAATGAGGCTGTGAAAGCGTACGGTGTGATGACGTTAATGTACCGACAACCTCTATAGACACATTTAGACACTTGTTAGCAACCGCCTTACTCAAGACACGTAGAAGCTTTTGAAAAAATTCACAAGGTGGTATTACTGATTTATTTTATGTTGTAGAAAAAACATGAATATATATTGTGCTAACCAGAGACCTTATTTTAGACATTTAACCAAAAACCCATTGACTTCGGAATGATGGAACTAGAAGTTTTTGGGTTATGGTCTACAGAAGTACGTCAAATCTGCAGCCACTCTATTTAGCTTATTTTCCTCTGATCAACAGAAAAGTACTCTTTAAAGCAATAATCCACACACACACACACACACACACACACACACACACACACAAGTCGTCATTTACCCACCCTCACGTCGTTCCAAAGACTTGATGAAACCTTCTGTCCCTCCATTGAAAGTCTATTATACCAAAACATTCACGTTTCAATACATTGTAAAGTTTATAAAGACATCGAATCGAGTGGTTTAGTCGGTTGCTTGATGTGCAAGACCAAACCTGTTGGTTCTTTCACATCAAGCAAGCACGTTTGAGCTTCTGTTTACCATATTTGATGAACTCTATATATATGTGCGTTGATCTAGGTTCATATGTGAGAAAAAGCCTAAATTAAATCTCTTCGTCATGTAAAGTGTTGTGTGATTGTTTGAATTTCATGATCTCTGTATGAACTTTTTAAAGCATCGGTTGAATAGAATTTTCATCTCTTTAATGTTTCATAACTTTAATGTCAGATCTCTACAATTTGAAAATAGTTGATTTCTTAAGTATTTGACACATTTTTTTGTATAGGTTTATGTGTATGGTACAAACTGTTGATGGAGCTGACTGTGTTTTCTGCAGGAGGAGTGTTTCCTCAACTTGGAGGCTCCCATCAGCAGGGTTTGTGGGTATGATACGCCCTTCCCTCACATCTTTGAGCCCTTCTACATCCCTGACAAGTGGAAGTGCTTTGAGGCTGTGAAGCGTATGATCAACTTCTAAAGCACAGGTACGTTTTTTTCTGTCGGATGTACCGTTATTGTTTAATCCTGTAAAGCCTGACATTTGAAATATATAATTTTTAAATGGAACATTTTAAACCATATTAAATCTTAAATTTAAACAGTTCCATATATATTTTTGTTCATTATAATATTTGATACATCAGGCTTTTATGGCTCATATAGTATGATATAGTGAGGATATGAAGGAAAAACAGCTCTGGGCAAGATTATGCAGATGCTGATATTTATATGACAAAAAGTAAAATGAAATTCTGAATGCTTGTAATGTAAATCAATGAGATCTTTATAACAGTATCGCAGATACTTACATAAAATGCTATAAATATCAGTCGTCTCTCTGTATCTCCAATAATATGTCTTAGTAAGATGAGATTTAAATGATCCAAACATATAATGCAATGCAATCCAATGATGATTGAGAGATGAACAAATAAACGCTCCTCAAAAGATCCTGATGATCAGATTTGAGACTCTAAAACATGATTGATGGAGAATCAAGTAAAGCTGAGCTGCTTCAGTCCAGTAAGTGTTCATCTGGAAATATTACTACAGTTATTCTGACGTTTGCTTTATAAAATCAGTAAAGATTTGACAGCAGAAAGACACGTGAAGC